CCAAGAATTTGCCAAACATTTTGTCATTTGATTGAAAGCCAAACATCCCTACGAAAGGAAAGGCCGATTGGAAGGCAGACGTGAACTCGACGTCAAAGTTGTCTGAATTGGCAAATATGAAGGCAATGGATGTGGAGTTCTTGTAATCACTGCAATCAAAGTTCAAACGGTTCCTGAATTTCAATAATTGTGTCAAATAGGTGGACGTGTCTGTGGTCGACATGATAGCACTTCCCGTTCTGACTCGATGTCCACCAAAAGTGAGTATAATATGGTCCAGAAGTAACGGACACTTTGACAATGTTTTGGCGGCGACTACTGATCCGCCACCGAATGACACTTTGTTTCCAAGTCTTGAGATTAAACCATTGATGCCATGAATTGTTTGATTGTCTCTAAGAACGCCTTTCGGGGTTCTGTCTCTTACTCTGGAGGACTGAAAGAATAAAATACTCGACACGTTCTCGATGTCCACCTCTTCTATTGAATGATAAGATTTGACTTCAATACCATCAATGTCTGGAACCAAAAGCGATGTCAGACCTAATGGTGTACACAATTTCATAAATGATAGTCTCATTAAAAGTTAGGAATAATCTAAAGAATACATGGGAATGAAGTTCTTTGGAACTGATTGCGATCAGCGCTATTGAGTTGTGCACTAAAATTGGTTAAACTCTTGTACCGAATAGAACTCGTGAGGACAGTCTTGCCGACATCCAAGTAAGTGATGTCACAGTCTGTGGGAAGTCCTGCACTCATATGTCGGACACTATTCTCTTTGCGTCTGTAATCGATTGGCTGCCGATAACCGCCGATCAGAACCAACACGTGTTTGGGTCTCATATTTAGCCATCGATTGGTGTAATGACTGAATGACTCTATTAGTCGTTGGGAGTCATAAATAGGCGATTCTTTGTGGAATACATAGTTCAAGAGATAGAGATGTATAATGTGTTTGCGTTTCTCGTGTTCATAAGCGGACGCATAGAAGAAGTCTTTTGAGAGACAATGACTTGTGAACAGAGATCTGATGTCGAGTTCGCTCACTATTCTTGCGATCAGATATGGATTCCTGAGCACCAACTTTGTACTAATCTTTGGGTCCATTAGGGGTAATGGAGGACTTCTTTTNCCCGTACCACCCATTCCCGTCCCAATACAAACTTATAAACTTCATATTTATTACCATTTTATTATACAGTAATTATACAGTAATTATAAAATACCAACTATTGAGTAACCGCACTCAAAGAGTGAACAAATTAGAGTACAATCCACTAGACATGTACTCAACCCGTACCACCCATTCCCGTCCCAATACAAACTTATAAACTTCATATTTATTACCATTTTATTATACAGTAATTATACAGTAATTATAAAATACCAACTATTGAGTAACCGCACTCAAAGAGTGAACAAATTAGAGTACAATCCACTAGACATGTACTCAACCCGTACCACCCATTCCCGTCCCAATACAAACTTATAAACTTCATATTTATTACCATTTTATTATACAGTAATTATACAGTAATTATAAAATACCAACTATTGAGTAACCGCACTCAAAGAGTGAACAAATTAGAGTACAATCCACTAGACATGTACTCAACCCGTACCACCCATTCCCGTCCCAATACAAACTTATAAACTTCATATTTATTACCATTTTATTATACAGTAATTATACAGTAATTATAAAATACCAACTATTGAGTAACTTTTTAATTTTATATTTAGAGTAAGTAAAATATTTTAAATGTAGTTATTCTATGAGTAATTATTATAAACTTAAATATAATTTAAATAAAGTTTTAATTTTAATACAAACTACCAGTTTTAATATAAATTTTAGTGAAGCTTTAAATTAAGGCAAATAAAAGTAATTAATGTTAACAAATATAATTGAAATTAGTTGTAAAGCAATAAAAGCACGATATGTGAGGATCTGGGTGGTTATGGTGGATCGGACGGGTCGGGCAGGTTGGGTGTAGTGGCCGTAGTGTATGAGTTGATTGTATGGTTGGTTGTGTGGCATTGAGAAAATGGCGCGCATTGAGAGGCATTCATAGTGTTGTAGTGGTGTTTGTGTTGGTCTCTACTCTCTCGCACTCTCTCATAGACTTTGACGCACTTGTGTGCAGTTGGATCACTGGTCTCTCCGCTGTAGTGTTTGCAGTGTTTTGTGTTGTATTTCAATGCATTCATTGCTGTGTAGTGTGAGTGCGAGTGTGAGACTGAGTCGACACTGACTTTGTATTGAGCGCTAACAGTAAGCCAACACTGACTCAACTCTTAAACGATTATTATTTATGTTTTCGTTAATTAAACACTTTGTGTGCCATTGAATCCATCAGTGAGTGCATGACAGTTGTGGTGATCTGAAGTCCACACCAAAGACACGACACTTGCCATGAAGACATCGCCCGCAATGAGTTGATGATCGCACCACTCATACAGTGCTCGCGTTTGTGACCAAAAGACACACTAATTGTATTGAATTGTAAGTATGAATGCATTGATTACAGTTACGGCTAACCATTGACTCACGAGTATTGTAGTGATTGTTTGGAGAGTGAGTGCCATATCATATAGCCATCAGATGATCACTGCGATAGTCATGCAGTGGTAGTAGTAGTAGTGGTGCCAGTGCTCCAGTGCTACCACTATTGCCATCAATAGTGGCGCCAATACACCATCTCAGCCACACATGACTGCTGTGACCGCCAACTCCCACCACTTCCACACCTCAATCCATGCTTGCCATCGATGGTGTGTCCCATGGATTGCATGCCAGCGATGGTGTGTACGAATGGTGTCTGTGGTCTGTGTTAGGGTTACTGGCCTTCAGTGCATGCATTCATTCACTCATTCATTGCAAACCAAACACTCGTTCACTGAGTCTATGAGATATGATAACAACGATTGTTATGATTATGGAAACAATTGATTGCATATTTGCCATCAATTACTCCATACACTCCAATGCCTATCATTTGGTTCATATAGTGATCATTGATTGAGAAATTTGTTCAAAATTTGATAAATGCTTTGCAAATAGAGGTAAACAATGGACGATAGCAAAGAGTGCGGCAAAGAGTTAGTGAGATAATAGGGATGATTGGGAGGACTAGTGGTGTGGATGAGGTGGTGGTGGTGTGGTCTTAGGCGACCATTTTGTAGGGATGGAGTGTTTAGTGTTTGGCTGTGATTAGAGTCCTTGAAAAGAGGCCTTTCCTATAGTAATGCCAATTATTTATCTCATTTAGAGCTGTGTTTTGGCAAACATTCTCTCATTTTGAGTATATTTGACTCAAACCAAACTCCTCTCCCATAGCCATACCATACCATACCATTCCCATTGCCATACCATTGCCAACTACCATACTATATATATCTGGCATGAACTGTACGTACAGTACACTGGTATGGTGTGCTCCCTGTGCTCAGAGTGGCGTACATTAGACTCGTCTCATAGTGTTAGTGATAATGTGGTTGCGATGAGTGGACCGAAAGCAATGCACAGCCAGAGAGCACTGGCATATCCACAGCACAGCCCTTCCACTGCCAGTGCTGTAGGAGTGTTGGCATTCAGTGGAAGGCGCGCTGCACTACCGTTCCCCTCATCCCTCATATGACTAGTGAAGGCATTGCTTGCTTTGGGGCCAAAAGCCATCCAAAGAGAGTAGGCTTTCCATAAACACAGCACTCTCTCACTCTCTGTTGAAACGGTTTGAGCGGTCATTACATGACATACCGACCAATCACTGGACACTACAGTCCAGACACTGCAACCACCTTTGAATGGAAATGCGCGCCAATCATCACATGACATGCCGTTCCCTTCACATGCCGTTCCCTTCATTACCTCTACTTATCTCTGCTTTCATTCACTTCTAGTCTCAACTGATTGTCATTTAAATGACTGAAGAAATGACTGTTTTCGGCAATTCATCGAAAGACACGATGACTGTAATAAACACAGCACTCTCTCACTCTCTGTTGAAACGGTTTGAGCGGTCATTACATGACATACCGACCAATCACTGGACACTACAGTCCAGACACTGCAACCACCTTTGAATGGAAATGCGCGCCAATCGTCACATGTGTACGGCAAGGGAAGTAATGGAGATGAATAGAGACGAAAGTAAGTGAAGATCAGAGTTGACTAACAGTAAATTTACTGACTTCTTTACTGACAAAAGCCGTTAAGTAGCTTTCTGTGCTACTGACACACCACTGTCTCCACGCCACTCGACAACGACGTGTCCAATGTGTCCGACATTACCACCGATAACATCATCAGTGATATGATGGTTGAGGACACGACCACTACTTCCACAGACACCGCCACAAGTGATTCCAATTGGAGTACAAATATTTGTATTAATAGTAATAGCAATAGTAATAACGATAATAATATGATTGACAACAACGCTGTCAATGATAATACAATTAGTAATATAAATGTGAATCAAAGTGAGGAACAGTTAACAAATCCCGACGATTGTCTTCAGCCCATCGACAGACTCGAGAAGTACTGCTTTTCCGACATCATATTCCATAGGTTTGTATTCATTGTGTACTATAAGTATGATTATTATGGACTTAACATTACTGTTACCATTGTCTGTCAAATGAGACTATAGTGTTGAACACTTTGCAAACTATTTTCAAACGATTTGCATGTCTTGTATGTCGTGTCAGTAGAGAGTCTTAGACACAGATTTTTCTCGTGAGAGAGACATTTCGCACTTAAATATGTTTTATATAAACAAACAGTTGATTGAATGCAAACATTGTGTTTTTGGGAGTGTTTTTCACTAATTTATGGCTTTGATTAGAGTTTTAGGCATTTTATTATTGTTTACATTCTTATGAGAGAAATTTAGGCAATTTTTGTTTTTTGCTTCAATCAATGAAATGAATGAATGCATGCATAGTGTGTAATAGGAGTTGATTTGATGGTCGACTACCTAAACGCCCACTTCTTAAGACTATACGTTAGCCTTTATTTGTTGGGAACAGTTGTCTAA